GTGTGTGCAATCACTCAACATGTGTGATTAGGTGAGTTTATTAAGACTCGTGGTATGATCGCATGACTAGACATGAGGACGTTGTGAAAAACAAAGGACCCAATGACCAAATAGCACGGAAGACTAAAAGACAAACTAACTTGATTAATTTTGTCCAATTTTAATGTTTATGCTATTTATTAGGTGATAACGGTCCATTGAAAATTGTTATTCATAAAGAAGATCAACCACAATCAAAGACAAAGAACACATGTTAAGGTTAGCACAAAAATTGATCACAAGAAACTAGGAAGATGATTAGAATTCTAGAAGAGTTATGACTCATGGGTATAAAAAAAATGAAAAAAATAAAAAAAATCTATAATCCTATGTTATACGATTTGACACGGATTAAAGGACTTGGCTAAGACTAGCTTGACACGAAAAGATATATACAAAAATAATAAAAAAAAAAGTTGACGCTAAAAAGACACCTAAACTAGACAGGCCGTAGTATATCAGTTATAAATTTTTATTTGTGACTCTGATTAGGACCAAACCAACGCCAAATGAAAGATAAAACTTACGGCTACAGATCTATAGGTGGCACAACACATAACTCTTTCTAGAACTCCGGCTATGACCAAAACAAGTTGACTCTTGTGTAGTATACGGAAATAAAAATCCGGGTGACTCAAAAATAAAAAAAATTAAAAAAAAATCTATGGCTCGACTCTAATAATAAAAAAAAAAGGTTTAATAAGAGAAAAAAAAAATTAAAAAAAGGTCAATAAAAAAAAATGCACACATAAGCATATCATCACGCATGATGCAATGAAGTTCGCAACCTAAAGTCAAGTTCTATGTTCGACTATGGTCAAGCTTTTGGGTGTCAAAGGGTACCATGGTTAAGAGTTTGGACGCGTTAGCAAGGCAGCCTCCCTTGAGGGTGTATGCCAACGGGCGGCTCTGTGAGTTCGTGATGAAATCGAACTCGACTCCATGGTTTGGGTGGATTTAAAAACTCGGATGAACCCTTATTGCCATGAGTGTTTTCGGGTTGATAGAGCATAAATCCCCCGGGCTAGCCACATACGTAGAACACGTACTATTGTGGCAAAATAGGTAACCTAAAAAAATCATATGCATATGTGACAATGCCAATTAAATCGCAGGAATACAATTCAAGAATCTTTCAAGTCTCATCAACTCATCTTAATTAAATACTGATCCCTCAAATCGATAAATATCTAAGAATCTTCCCCAGTGGAGTCACCAAATTGTAGGCGTCGTTCGAAGTGCGCCTACGTAAAAAGCATGTTGTGAATATGCTTGGCACTTATAGGAAGTACGAATTGACATAATACGATTAGGGACAAATAAAGTAGGGAGCCGCCAACAAGTTTTTTAGGAACTTGTAAACCGTTCACGGATCATTTAAGGCAACCACGATTAAGGGACAACGAAGGCAACAACGATTGACCCGTGAAGGTTACACCCCATTCATAATCCATGAGATTACTAACTCCATATGGTTCGAAACCACGAAAGGAGGATCGGGGATGATGGTACGAAGTGAGTCATGGAGTCACATTCGCCCGTATTGGCCTCTACTCAATTCTTTTAGTGAAAAGTGATTCCTACGATCTCAAAGGCATACAAACAAAATATTCAATTCGCTCCAAACTATTATTATGATAAATTGGTTTAATATTAATGCAACACATGATTATAAAATATTTGTGATCACTTGAATTAATAACAAGATTAAAAAGGAACCTAAACCGGTTGTCCAAATTATCTTATTAGGCGTGATTTTCAATTACATATTCCCTTTAACATGCAATATGGTGATCATAAAAATAATAGAATAAACATTAATATTGGAAGCAATTTAACAATAATAATGTGTGTTAAATCAAATATAAAATAACCTAATCATGATACTAGCAATATAAAATAATAAGAGTAATTAAGTGAATTAATTACTCACTTTCCGCGTTTCCTTGAATTGCTACATCATGAATAAATTGTTAGTAACTTCAATAAAAATATAAATCAAATAGAAATTAAATTAAAGTAGAGTTGATTTGGTCCAAACCCTCAGTCAATTATACCTTTCACGCCTTGATTTAAGTATAGAACTAATTTGGGTACTGTATGGACTCCTTGGAGTGCTTAAAGAAGAATGAAAGAATTAGGAATATAGGTTTAAGGCTTAGAATATGGGAGAGAGAGAATAGAGTGATTTTTGGTGTAAAAGAGAGGAAGAGAGAATGATTTGATGATAAAGCTTGTTGATTATTGGAAAAGGGGAGATATGACCTCTATTTATAGAGAAAAAAGAAGGTCGAAGAATCAAGAAAAGATAAGAATTCGAATCGGATAAAACTCTTGCGATAGACAGCAGTTTTTTATGGTTTTTGTTTTTATCATATCTTTTGATCCAGAAATCAAAATAAAATAAATAAGATATCTTTGGAAAGCTCTTGAAGTATAATTTCTAACATAATTAGAATCAGATTAAAATATTTTATAGAATAAAAGATATGGCCGAAATAGTGAGATGGTATCAGTTTTGGATAAAGTTTGACATTTAATTCATATCTTTTCCATTATAGCTCGGAATTGATATTATAATATATCATTGGAAAGATAATTTCAAGGGCTATCCAACCATATAAAATTTGGATAAAAACTATGAGGATCGAAAAAATTATCTGTCTATCTTTGAACGTCTTTCGATTCAAATAGAATTAGGACTTTAAAAAAAAGGAGTTTTATTCAATTTCAAACTATTTAATCTTATCTTTTCAAAAAGGATAATCAAGATCTTTTAGAAACTTATATAAGATTCTAATTAATCCTAATTGGTTTCTAAATGGGGTTAAATAATTTGGACTCTCCACATGATCATTGGGTCGTAGATAAGGTGGGCTTAGGTTCAGTTTGGGTTGAGTTTAATATTTTGGCCATAACTTATTCGTTATAACTCGGATTTGGGCTTATAATATATCGTTGGAAAGCTCTTTTAAAGCCCCATCCAAATATTTAATAATTGAACCTAGATAATGGACCAAAATAAACTGGATTAAATATTTTATAAAAAGCACACGAAATGAATGATTTTAAAGGACACGGAATGAATTATTTTGGGTTTAAAGGCAAGTGGAAAATAAGTTATGGTTTGGGGAAATGGGCTAGAATTTGGGTTGGTTTATGAAATGGAAATATGGATTTAAGCACTCCAAGATTAAATACTCAACCCGACCAATAATGGCGGTGAAAGGTTGTTCATCATCGGGTTTGGTTTTGGGGAGACATTTTTAGGTGTCTACAGTGAGGTCTGATAGTAACTTGGAGATGACTGAGGGAGCAATGAAGCAGTTTTATACTAGTCAAGGCATTGTTCACCAGACTAGTTGCTCAGATACTCCACAACAAAATGGGGTTGTGGAACGCAAACATAGGCATTTGTTGAGACTGGCAAGGCCCTTAGTTTCCAGTCACAGCTTCCTAAGAGATTTTGGGGTGAAGTTGTCCTTTGTGCTACCTATTTGGTAAACAAAATGCCCTTGTCAAGCATTAATTACAACACACCTTATAAGAAACATCACAACACTACTACTCCATTAGAGCAACTGAAATCTTTTGGTTGTCTTTGGTTCTGTTCTACTTCTAAGGTTCACAGAAGAAAATTTGATGCCAGAGCTGTCCCTGGTGTGTTCATTAATTATGCCTTGCATTAGAAAGGCTATAAAGTACTTGGTCTTAGCACTTATAATATTCATGTTACTAGAGATTTGGTGTTCCATGAGTTTCATTTCCCTTTTCACTATAAAACTTCAAATCATCTCTCACTTGACAATTTCTTGCCTAAACACACTGCTTACTATTCAGATGACCTTGATTTCACACCAGATGCCAACCCTTCTCCTCCTCCTTCCCCCCCCCCCCCCCCTTCCCCCACCTTCTTATCCTCCCTCCTTTACTTCAAATTCTGTTTCAAATGGGAACACTATATCTGACACTCTTTCTAATACTCATGCTCTTACTGCTTCAGTCTTGCCTTCTCCGCAACAGGCTTCAAGATAGCCTAGGTTGTCTTCCAGGCTAAGAAATCCACCCTCTTGGATGAAATATTACAAGTGTTATACCTCCCAATCTCACTGGTGTAATCTTGTTTCATTTGATTCTCTCCCTTCTACATCCAGAAATATTCTAGCTCACACGGCTGCCCTGTTGGTTGAACCAGTCTCTTATCTTGAAGCTTCTCAAGACAACAATTGGGTACAAGTTATGCAGACTAAGATCATAGCTCTTGAAAAGAATTCAACTTAGGGATATAGTTACTCTTCCACCTTCCAAGAAAGCTATTGGGTGTAAATGGGTACATAAACTGAAATTGAAGGCTGATGGGACCCTAGAGAGATGCAAGGCTAGGTTGGTTGCCAAAGGTTTTACTAGAAGTATGGAGTTAATTTTGAGGAAACTTTCTCTCCTTTTGTCAAGATGTCCACAGTTAGATGTGTTCTAGCCATTGCAGCCTCTTGCAAGTGGCCTATTCATCAATTCGACATCAATAATGCTTTCTTACATGGTGACTTACATTAAGAAGTTTACATGAAGGTGCCTCAAGGGATTCCAAATCCTGAATACAAGGTATGCAGGCTGTAGAAATCCTTATATGGGCTCAAACAAGCTTTCAGGCAGTGATTTTCTAAACTGCACAGTGAGCTCAAACTGCTGGGATACAATCAGAACAAGGATGACCATTCTTTGTTCTTGAAGAAAGCAAATGGTCAGATAACTATTGTGGCAGTATATGTTGATGATATATTATCATCACTGGCAATGACACTTCAGAGATTCACAACCTGAAGACTCATTTGGACAAGGTTTTCAGCATTAAGGATCTAGGCTTACTCAACTATTTTCTTGGGATAGAAGGGACTTACCTTGAATCAGGGATTGTCTTAACTCAGAAGAAATTCACCAAGGAACTAGTTTCTTTCTTTGAGATGGATGTCTCCGGGACAACCTCTACTCCTTTACCTATAAATCTCAAGTTACTTGTTGATGAGGGTGATTTCTACCCTGATCCTGCTCTATATAGGTCACAAGGTGGGAAATTAAATTTTGTGACTCATACTCGACCAGATCTCTCTTTTTCAGTACAAACACTAAGCCAATTTATGCACCAGCTAAGAATACCTCATATGAATGCCTTGCATCATGTGTTAAGGTATGTTGCAGACACCATAGGCTAGGGCATCCTACTCAAGGCTTCAGACTCTCTTGTTCTGAGAGCATATTCAGACTCTTATTGGGCAGGTTGTCCAAATAGCAGATGTTCTGTAACTAGTTACATTGTTCTGCTTGGTGGTTCTCCCATATCTTGGAAATCCAAGAAGCAAGGGACTATTTCTAAATAAATCATCTTTTGAGGCTGAATACATAGCACTTTCTTCTGCTGCCTTAGAGGTTACTTGGACAGTTAGGCTGCTAGAGGAACTTGGGGTCACTAAACTTAAGCCTGTTACTCTATATTGTAATAATCAATCTGCTATACACATTGCAAAGAACCCAGTGCATCACGAACTAATGCACAAAGCACATAGAAATTGATGTGCATTTTACTTGGACAGTTAGGCTGCTAAAGGATTGCTGGAGTTACACTATCTTCCTACTCATCAGCAGCTGGCTGATGTATTTACTAAGGCCTTATCAGGTCCTCAATTCAGAAGCTTATTGTACAAGCTTAGTCTTACTGATATCTCAGCTACCCCAAGCTTGGGGGGGGGGGGGGTATTAGTGATACACATGCTCGCACTGCTGCTGCTGCTGTTCTCAGCTCAAATGATCATCAGCTCAAGGAACAACTAGCTAAGGATTTGTTTGCTCTCTTTCTCTCAAGTGTTCAGGATTCACCTAGATAGTTCCATAACCTTCTCTAGGTTGTTACGAGCTACTATCTAGCTCAGCATTTTGTTACAACAGAATGCCAAGTCAGAATTATGTTACAACAGAATTCTGTTGTATTATAGCTAATTTTAATCTCTATATTACTTTTTTATACTTAGCTATAAATAGTCTTAGAGCTGTAATTCTTCATTACAATTTCAATAATAAAAAGATTCTTTCCCAAACTTCTCTCTCCACAATTCCTGTAAAACATCTCTCTAGAATTCTATTAGAAAGCTAATCAGTTGAAGAAATTCTGCTGAAATTGCAGAATTCAACATTTTTTTTGATGGAATTATCTACTTTTACACCAGAAAATCCAAACAATTGCTTTAGGCTTATGATTAAGACACCAAACAATGGTTGAATGTTGTCTTGTCCTCTGACTTTAAGGACTATTCAATGTACATTTTCGATGCGTTGCACCATCTCGGTAAGACGGTAATGGTTTGTTCTGTGCCTCTGTTTCACTACTTATTTTTATAATCTTCGAAATCTTGATCCTAAAAAGACTACACCGTAGTTATTTCTGTCCAATTCAAAGTCCAACGGCCAATACATTCGAAAGAGGTGCTTCTCACTCTAGTATCTACCAAGTCCTCTACTTTTGAATCCTGCTGCCAAATTTATGGTCATATTGCTATCTAGGTAACCAAATTTTACTCTTTTTTCATCCAAATTATCGTTACTCTTCTCATGTAAAACTTATTGATTTATATTAGTATCATGGGATATGATATCAAATTATTTTTTAGCAGCGATCACTGAAATAAAGCTGATAACTTAGAGATAATAAACAAGGTACCGCTTTTCAATTGTTGGGCAGCTGCAATTGACTTATTCATTTTTTGTTATGCTGGCTGTTAAGTGTTTAGAGGCTAAATAGTGGGATGATTACCATCATTTTAATACGGATATTGATTTGCATATTGGAAAGGATATAATTTTCTATAAATTTTAGTATAGGCACCAAGCAAGACTCCAAGAGTACTTCTATTGTATATTGCATAGACAGACCTATCTCAACAAATTAAATTACTTCAAGTGACACACTAACACCCCTTCATTCTATAAGAAATTATAGGAGAAATTTAGTATACAAAAGACATTGTTTAAATTCTTCAAGGGACGTGATAAAAATGTAGTATATCAATTGGGCAATGGGCATGGTGCTATTGTATGAGGCTTTCAACAACAATCGGTATTACATTAAACATTTGAGTGCTTATCTATTTTTATGTTAAATGCTTTGGGACACTTATATATGCTCATATATCATATACAAAGTTTAACGTAATATGAACACAAATCTGTTACAACTCGACTAAATCTATATAATTATAATCTAGATTACATGAATCGATATCATATACGAATACTCAATCATCAATTGTATTATTATGATTTGGCTCGTTATAACCTGTTACCTGGATTAATCCAATAAATTTATTGTTAGAAAAATAACTGTAGGGTTGAAGAATTAGGGACGTGTTTACACTGTCCTTAAAGCAATTTTAACCCCCACTATGATTGCTATGGGTTACCGGTTAATATATATGCTTCCAGGATTTCCCTAAGTTCGAGATCAATTAAAACAATGTAATTGAACTCCCTAAGAACACTTTAAGAACAATAAGAATAGATAGGAAAGAAGAAGACAAAGTAAAAAGGTGAGTGATAATTTTGGAGCAATTAATTATATATAATGATCAGCCTTTTATTCCAAGAGTAACCATTTCCAAAAATAAATAAATTAAGATAATCATACTTTTAATGAAAAGTTACCATTATCATATTTAATTTAACCGTAAGAAAGTAACTACTTGCATTCGTCCAATCAGGCAAAGCCCGCCCGATCGGGCATGTAAACGGACAAAATTTTAACTAGGCTCACGCTCGATCGGGCCATCTACACTTAGGAAAATAACTTTGCTCTCGCACCCGATCGGGCTAACTTAGCCCTATCGGGTGAGCAAAAAGTACTTTCCTTAGTTAATGCTCGCGCCCGATCGGGCAAAGCCCGTCGGACCGGGCCCGTGGTCATAACCACGACTCACATTAAAAACTTTGTTTTGCTCCAAATATTAAACGTATAGCCTAGCTCCAAGCTAAACTTTTCTATTTAACCGATGTGGGAGTTTTTCTTCCCAACATCAAGTTAAATAGAATAGAGTAACTTATAGACTAGCTCCAAGCTATACTTTTCTATTTAACCAATGTGAGAATTTCTTCCCAATAACAAGTTAAATAGAATTGAACAAGCCAACTTCTTCTATTCTACTAATGTGGGACTTCCATCCCAACACTAAGCTATATAGACTAACCTATATAACCAACTTCTATTCTACCAATGTGGGACTAATTTCCCATCATTCATAACACCTATTATGAAGACTACTCTAACAATTTGCCACTTAGTCTTTAAAATTGGTGTTTGTTCTTGACAAACAAAATTATGCATCAATGAAGGTATCTTATTGATTTGAACCTCCACCTAGCATAAAATTTCAAAGTAACAACAAAATTAATGATAGTTTAGACACCCATTTGTGTCTCCCCAAAACCAAACCCAGTGATGAGTACCTTTCGCGCCGAATCATAATCGAATGAAATGAAAGTGTGGAAAGTTTAGTGTTGCGGATAGTTTTAGTTTCTTTTCTTTTCTCTCTATTTTCGAAAATCTATTTTAAGAAAATAGCCAATCCAGTTTGGTTGGTCCATGATATGGGTCCAATAGTAGTGTAGTTGGATAGGGCTTGAAAAGAGCTTTCCAACGATATATTATAAGCCCTATTCCGATGAATATTGAGGATGTTACGGCCAATTTACTAAACTAGGCCCGGTTTGAGCCTTATATGCGGCCCAATGATTTAGAGGAGGGCCTAATATGGATTTATCATTCCTAATGCAATTAGGAATGGTTTTAGTCTTCTAGATTCTTCTAAAAGGTTCTTTTCATTCCTAATTCAATTAGCATTGATAAATTGACTTTTGTTGACTTTTTAGAGTTTTAATCAGAATAAAAGAATGTTTTGAGGAAAATACGATTTTATCCTCCTGTACGGTTAAATTATATCTGATTTTAGAAAATGCGTTAAAAACGGGATTAGCGCCTAACGCCAGATATTAGCGCCTGGCGCCTGGTGCTAGCGTTAGCGCCTGGCGTTAACGTTAGCGTCTGGCGCCAATTGTCGGCGTCGGCGCTAATCAAGTTTTATCCGCGTCAGAACTCTGTTTTGATTTTTTTATCTTTTTGGCTGATTTTCTCTATAAATATCCTTCTAAAAACCCCGTTTTCATTCACCAACTCTCATCAAGATTTCTTGATTACACTCTCCCTCTCTCTTTTCTAAACTAACCTTTTCTCAAATACAAAATTCCGCATTCGCAAGACTTAGAAACACCTAGCATAATTCGAAGTTGCCTTCTCCCTAGACATGAAAGGTTTTAATTTCTGAGGGTTTGGTCCCAATTATCTATTTCAATTATTCAATTTAATTGTTTTGTTTATTATTTTCCTTGAAGTTACTAACGCGTGTATTTTGTTATTAGAAAGAGGTACGAGGCATCCAAGTAAGTACTTTAATGGTTTTTATTAATGTTATGATGTAGAAATCATGCTTAGGTTGTTATTATAATTCCTAGTATCATGTTAGGATGTTTTCCTTAATTTGATGTTTAGGGTGACAATAATAAATTCCTAGTATCATGTCTAGGGTAACTTTAATACCAAGTATGATTGAAAGTATGATGCCTTTTATTTTCTTTCTAATATTTATGATTGTTAGTATCATGTTAGGGCTAGATTTGATTTTTATTGTTTAGTGACATGCTAGGTTTTGTTATTAATCTTGTTAGTATCATACATAGGATCTTGCTATTATTATGCTTTAACATGAACATGATTATTTTATTTATAATTATATATTATTTTATTGTTTATTTATTATGTTGCTTGATTATATTTATTTATTGCTTGATCACACCTTTTATGCATGTTTAAAGGGAATTGGTACTTGTAATCACGCTTAATGAAATATTTAATAATCTTGTTTAGGGTTAATTATGATTATAATTCAAGTGATCGACAATAATAGTTTATTTGTGCATTATATTCAACCAACATAGATAAGCAGGTTTAGGGTAAACCTATTGATTGTATGTTAGTCAGAAAGCGCACATGAATACGATCAAAATAAAGTAGAGGCCTATTATTAGGGCAGGTTCAATCTCTTTTAGGTTGGATTTGTACCTTCATCCCCGAACTACCAGTCATGGTTCCAGAACTAATGGAGTTGAAGATCTCCTGGATCGTTAAGGGGTGTAACCTTCACCTCGTGAACGGTTTACAAGTTCCTAAAACTTGTTGGCGACTCTTTTGCTCTATCTTTTTTCCCTTTGGACGCCACCGTACTTTAGTGTATGATCACAGTGGGGTTCAAGCTAGGGATAATTCTTGAAATATTCCCTA